AGGTCATTAGGGGGGTATAATAGAAAATCCAAAGGAATTAGGGATCCCCTTGACATCCTAGGTTTTGGTTGATTTTCATATGGTTTTATAAAGGTTCTTATATACAAGAACCGAATGCGACTTTAAATCATTTTATTCCAGTTTTAGCCGTATTTTATTAAATCTCAATTGAATCTCATTCGATTTCAATTGATTCTAAAAGGAATTTTATGAAATTTCAATCGATTCTAACAGGATTTTAATTCCATTTTAATTGGTTTTAAAAGGAATGTTAAATAAATTTCAATTGACTCTAACGGGACTTTAATTCGAATTTAATTGATTTAGGAATTTTAAGTAAATTTCAATAGGTTCTAACGGGACTTTAATTCGATTTTAATTGATTCTAAAAGGAATTTTAATTAGATTTCAACTGATTCTAACGGGATTTTAAATCGATTTTAATTGATTATTTAAGGAATTTTAAGTAAATTTCAATAGGTTCTAACGGGACTTTAATTCGATTTTAATTGATTTTAAAAGGAATTTTAATTAAATTTCAACTGATTCTAACGGGATTTTAATCCGATTTTAATTGATTTTTAAAGGAATTTAAAGGCGGCCCTACCAAATCCTTTCAATAAATGTCCCCCCTAATAATACATAATTTCTGACCCTCCGGATTATTTACTATTGCCGGGGGGGGGGGGACGTCGTTAATTATTAGGGGGAAGGGATTATAAAGTTGGTCCTACTATACACACATGTTTCTGAGGCAGCCAAAAAACGGACCACAATAATAACCCTCCATCTACATAAAGCTCCTCAAGGCTCCAGGGCGCCAAAAACTTCAGAACTTCAAACATCTGCCATGAAAGAGAATGCCGAAATGTTTGACTACATTTCCAGAAGCTGCCGCAGACCACATACCCGTCGGCGGAACTTGTACAGTTGTGCACGATAATTACAGGTTAAAGCTTTAGGAACTTATCCTCTTTGAAAAGGGGTTGCCGACGTTCTCCTAGAGTTGAACTACTCTGTCCTGCCAGCTCAAATATTTTCGCGCTGGCAAGGTGCTACTGACCGTACAAGCTCTTCTACATATATAGGCTATAGACACAGTAAATCTCCCATCCCTGTGTCAGGAAAAAAACGGAGAAAGCGGCTTAGACCGGTGCTGAATTTCGCCTGTGGCTGCAGCTTGTCGAGCCGACTCAGCCTCTCAAGCTTTGAGTCCAAGATATGTCAGCTAGGCGTTCCGGGGCTAGCAGCGCACTACAAAAAACGATTCGCACCAACGGTTGGTGTAACAAGAAAACAGCATGGCGAGTGCAGGCTTTACAGGAATGGGGTGGTGCGCTTCAGGCCTGCGCGCTTGGCGGAGATGCCAAGATTGCTGAATCATCTAGGTTGCTGTTAAGGAATTCACATTAATCTTACCATAGTATGAATATGTATGAATATGGATGTATCACAATACTGGGGTTCCTTATTATACACAGTCGCTCAAATGAAGTTCCTGCATGAACAGCAACCCAGCCATTTCCTCAGCAAATTATGGAGCCAGGTTTGCCTGCATGAGACCTGAGAAAGGAAACTCGCTGCATCACATCTGCCAGTGTGGGAAAGGGCTTCGAACATGATAGTGTCCCCCTGAAGTAAATAGAATATGGGGTATATGGGGATCTTATTGTAATATACCCAAAGCCATATTCTATCTACTTAAGGGGGAACTGCCCAGCTCTAAGTCTCCAAAGTCGGGCTAGATGGGCGCTTACGGAATGATAGCATGAAATAAACGGGAACCTCTAGCAACCTGAAGAGCTTCAATTCTCACAGTGTATCTAAAAAGTTCAAGGTTAGGTACAATTTGTGGACTGGCCTGTCCTTTGGCTAGACTCCCGAACTGAACCATAGCACTGGCACTGGCACATGCTGGACCTTACTCGGCTACAAGCTCCACCTGAACATGTCCGACGTACGTGAAATGTCCTAAGCAAAAGGTTAAACATCCATCAACGACGATCGTTCCCTTCATCTCTCTGTCGCACGTTCTCTCTCCCTATCTCTCGCTCTCCCACCTTCCCTCTGTCTTTGTCTCCATGTCTCTGTCTCTCTCTCTCTCTCTGCTTCTTCTTCTTCTATAGGCTATGCAAGGCCCGAAAGCCCTGCCGGGGCGCACCCCGAAGCCCGCGAGCGGTTCAATGTCTGGTCATCCCCGGTTCTCAGAGTACGTGGTCACTGTGAATGAAGTTGGGGTAGATCATTAGCTTCCCACCACTTTGGGCCCCATACAATTCCCCATTCTCCATTCCCAAGTGACGAACCTCCTGTCTCCACGGGGCTGTGAAACTTCTGCACAAACTTTTCCCACACCTTGGTGGTCACTTTAAATGTAGGTTTCGGCTCTCCATGTGGGTGTCACCTTTCTCCTTCCTCATTACATCACATGACAGACTATGCTACTTCCACTCGCAATCAGCATCAGGTACAAGGTGCACTTCCCATCTCTTCCCCTCACCACGATTTCCCGGGAACAGGTAGTGTTGCCCGCGTTACACATTTGGCAGCATCTCGCTCTCTCTCTCTCTCTGTATATTGCATCTGTCTTTTTCTTTCTCGTGATCCTCATGATGCATCTTGGGGCATCAGAACTTCAGTGAGAGATCCTGATTACCTTGACTCTGCGGCCGGCATTGGCCTGGCGAACCGGGTCGATCACGCTGCAGCTGCAGGCACAGCCTGATTTCCAGCTTTCCCTGTACCCATACAATTAACCGTTCTAACTCTTGAGGCACGCCGCCCATGACTTGGGGGGCGATGTCTAGAGTTACTGACGCAACAGAATACCCGCTTGTAGTCCAAAGACTGTAAATACAACCTACCCGGGCCTGGCATGTTGTTGTATTTGCATACTGAGAACTGAGTAGAAGCTACGGAGAACATTCGAACCTATGCTTTCTCGCTTTAGCCCATCAACACTCCACAGTCCCAAGAACGCGTAATGTGAGGACGACGGAGGCAAAACAAAACGGCCGCATATATGCCTTT